CAAAAAAATATACGTATTTTGGAAATGTTGAGTCGAATTAGTCTAGAATCGATTAATTTTATGAAAGAAAACCTTTCAAACAGCCGTAGTCCGTAAACTATGATTCCTACAAAATTGATTCATAAAGAACGGAACGTATCTACCGTCTTATAGGGGGATCTACTGTATTTGTAAATGTTCAATTTTTAAAACACAAACCTGATAAAGATCATTAAAAACGATTGAAAATGCTTTTTAAGTTGAATAAACTTTTTACTGTTATTCAAGGTTGTGTGTGAATGAGTAACAATCTATTAGGCTATATAAAATATTTAAAGATTTAAATGTTAACTCTAATCAAATTCAATTACTTTTTGGCAATAAATAAATATAATAAATAAATAAAGTCAATAACTCTCCAATACTGGAATAGAATACACATACACAACATACCAATACCAACATGCTTGAAATTAAGAAATATTTACTAATGTTTTCATCCATTTATAACAGACATGTTCATGTATATAATGCAGAACAAAACAGCTAAATTAAAATTGAACACATTTTATAAATGATTTACAAGTTCAATTTAAAATTGTTCTGGAACAAAATACATCTACTATTTAAAATTATTTTTCATATACATTACAAAAATGATCTAAAATTATTTCCTGAACAAAATACATATTTAATTTTTAAAAATTTTTGAAATAACTTTACAAAATTTGTTTAAATTATTTCCCATAAAAATTATGTATTTAGTTTATAATAATGATTTTATGAAAGATTTTCCATAAATGAAAATTTAAATTATATATTAGTTATTTGTATGAAAATAATTGTTTGGAAAATTATGTTAACTCCTTCTGTAGGTTATTAATAAATAATCTTAAACTAAATAAGTAATTTTTATGGGAAATAATTTAAACAAATTTTGTAAGTTATTCAAAAATATTTTTAAACTAAATATGTTTTTGTCTGGAAAATAATTTTAATCTGTAGAAATACTTTGTTCCAGAAGCAATTTTAAATTGAACTTGTAAATCATTCGTAAAAACACATTTGATTTTAATATAGCCATTTTGTTCTGCATTATATACCTGAAGAAGTCTGTTATAAACAGATGAAAATGTTGATAAATATTTCTTAATTTCAAGTGTGCTAGTATTGGTATGTTGCATATGCGTAAAAAAATTTTTTTAACTCCAAGATGATCTTCCAAATTCTGTCCAGTTGAGTCACATCATGTGAATTAATTACCCTAATATGATAATAACAAATATATTCATATCTTATCTAATGTTCTAATTGAATAACAGTTCCTTAATTTATAAATTAACTTTAGTCTTTCCACAACACATTACTGATTATACTTATTGTTGGTCACCTTAACCAGCATGTTTTGGTATGTTTATGGTACAGTTTAATGGAGTTTATTTGATGTTCAAACAAAATTTAATCAAATTAAAAAAAAAAATGCAATTATTAATAGGTTAGTATGAATAAACTCTTATTTGCATTCATTTATTAATTCTTAATTCATTAATATCATTTATTTGCTATTTTTAAATATACTAATAATCAATATAACAAAAATATAATAAAATTTGATATCTGTTGAAATTAACCAAAGATTTGTGAATTTTATAAATATAGCTTCCATTGAAATTTGTGTAAATAATTTGAATTAAAATAAAAAATAATTACTTTTTACATCAATTTAAATAAATTAATGAAATATATTGATAAAAACCACAAAAAAAGCTTATAATGCTATTACAACTTATATAAATTTTACTATATTTACAATTTATTATGGATTTAATTACTCAAAAAATAATAATAAACAATGTAAAAATTATATTTAAAAAAAAAAAAACCAAAACAGTTTTTATTCTGCATCACAAGAAAATTCTCAAGTAACTTAACATTTGCATTCGTGTTGTGTAATATATGTCATTAAACAGAATATAAATAAAGGGCACAAAAATTATAAAAAGTGTACAAATCTATCTTTTTAACATATTAAAGCAGTATAAATTTAAAAAATAACATAAAAAAATAACTTTATATCATAAAATTCAAAAATGCATAAAAACATTTACTAGATCAAATTAGATCATTGAATAAGAATATATTATGTTTTTATTTCAATAATTAGTGTTTAATAATATTAACACTTGTACAACTAAAATCAGTTAGAATAAGACATTTTTATACGAAATGAATTATTAAAACACAGTTTAGAATGCATGTTTTCTTGTTTTTTTTTTAATTTAATATATTATTATTATTATTTGATTAATAAAAATAAATTCTTAATTCATATATATACACACATCAGGTTAGGTTCCATTAGAAATTTCATTAATATTACTATGAACTTTTGTTTTAGAGAAGCATAAATATCTTTATAATTGATACATTTCATGAAATTAAGTAATAAGTCATTGAAAAACACTCACATTTATTCATTTGGAGTGTAAACATTGATCTGTAAAGGCATTTAAAAAACTCGAAATTTTTTTGCTAAGTTATTTCTGTCAAAGAACATCTTAAAAACCATTTGTGCATAATAAAATTATTTTACTTCATTGTATAATTATAAAAGGACGGAAGTTTAAAAATATATAAATAAATACCTACAAAATGATTTAATATGTTAAAGAGGTTAAAAAACAGTATATGTGATAGGAAATTTAACATCGATGGCTTATTCAAAAGGATACTTAATATCAACATCTTAGTTTGATAATCGAATGCAACGACTTCACCTTCTACCGTTTGCTGGTGACATGTTTTACATCTAACGATACTTCCGACAGTAAATAATGTAAAGTCCTCGTTTTCATCCGTCGTCGCCATCTTGACTTTCATTTTGGTGAAGAAGATTTAGTCTCGACTCCACAAACCGGTATACAAATAATACTGTGGACGAGAATACGTGTTCTCTAATAACTCGGCCGTGTACGTGGCGCTTGTATTTTACTTTTTTAAACTTTTAAATTCTCAAAAATGATTGGTTATTTAGATAAACAAATATCCAATTTGTCCAATTAGAAAAAGCTTAAAATTTTCGTCATTGTGTTTACAGCCAATTACAAACAATTTTATTTGTTTATCATTGACGTAATTATATGTTTGCTTTAAATGTAATATGCGCAATAATTGGATCATTTAAATTCAGTGACTTTTTAGTTTAAAAATTTAACAGTAACTTTATGTTATAAAAGTACAAATTCATTAAAATTTTAATTATGTATTCGTGGTGACTGCTGTTCATAAATTTTTTAATTCAAAACATTTTTTTAAGTGACGAAATATACAATAGCAGACTAGTAAAAAAATGAATGATTATCCATCCTTCTGAATGAAAAGTTTCAAAACATTTTCAACAGAACAATTTAATGTATTAAACTAAGCCATACTTACTATAAAATTAATTAATTTGCATAATAGGAAAATCTAGCAAAAGAAGCTTTTAAGCACAAGTCTTGAATTTTAGAACTATTACACTCATTGGATTTACCTCTCAAATATAAATAATTATGCTTAATTACAATTATTTTAGTTTATATCTGAACGAGTTTCGGTTAGTACTATTGAATATTATAAAAACTGTTAAGAAAATTGATGATTTGTGAAATTATTTGAAGTGCAGCATTATACTGTAATTTAATATCTATTTAGGTGTAAAGAAATAGGATACAAAATACTGTTTATAATTATAAATATTTCAAATAAAGGGAAATATTTAATTCAGAAGAAAACTTCCCTTTATTTAATCCGCGTGTATTTTCAGTTACCTTCATTTTTTCAATGTTCATGTGGAGGCTCTAGCCATATAGCTTTTTCCTCCGAGGTTCCTCTGAGATTGCTACCAGGACTGGTTACGAAAAGTGACCTGTCTGGCGGAGAAAGATCTCTTCTGCTTCAATATGGCGGCGGGCGACCAGATCCATTGCGCTGTGGGCCAGTACATCGGAGTCAAAGAAGTCAAAGTAATTACATTTAATAGGGGGAATGAAAGGAAGAGTGGAACGTCCAGGTTTCATAATAGGCTATATTTTCCTCAGAGCCCTAGAAAATAAGCATGAAAATTTTACAACCAAAGTGCATATAATGAAGAGATTATTAAAATTTTATTATACAGGGTAATCCAAAAGTAACAGAGAATTTGAAAAAAAAAAAATAATAGACTAATAATAATAATAATAATAATAAAGCAAGTTGACGCTCACATAGGGGAATATCAGGGAGGTTTCCGTAAAGGAAGGTCATGCATGGAACAAATCTTCAGTCTAAAATCTATAATTAGGCATTACACTATGACAAAATGCAACTATGTTGTCACTTTTGTAGATTTTAAAAAAGCATATGATTCCATCGATAGACCAACCTTGTTCGCTACACTTAATGAATTTGGAGTAGATGATAAGCTGATAAATGTAATCAAACAGTCACTTACAAATACTAAATCTAAAGTAAAATTCCTTGGGGAAATTTCTAAGCCATTCGAAATCAAAACTGGAGTTCGGCAAGGACTCTCACCCATATTCTTTAAATTAACTGTGTGCTAGAAAAGATCATTCGAGAATGGAAAAAAGCATTACAAGAGGCTGGGATAGATAACCAAATTAAATTAGGAACCAAACACAAAGTAGTAAACCTCAACGGCTTGGCTTTTGCAGATGATTTCGCGGCATTGGCTAAGGATGTGAACTCAGCTATCACCCAAATTAACCTCCTTGGAAAAATTGCAAAGAAAGCAGGCTTACAAATATCTACTTCTAAAACAGAGTACATAACAAATATTTCAGGTGCCCCAAAATCACTAAAAATAGATTTTGGAGAAATTAACAAAGTATCAAAATTTAAGTATTTTGGAGAAATTATTGAAACAAATGGGTTGTCTAAAGCGGCAAATTATGCTAGGACACGGAAGTTGGAAATTGCCTATCAACTTTCCAAAGACATTTATAACAAGAAATCAATCTCCATCAACGCAAAAATTAGACCGTGATAAAACCTCAAGCACTTTATGCAGCAGAAGGCATTGTTACTCTTAAAATGGGGGAAATAAAAAATATGGAGAAAAAAGAGAGGAAAATCCTTCGAAAAATTCTGGGGCCGAAAATAGATGAACATTGTAACTACGTGCTAAGGAGCAATAAAGAGCTCTATCAAAAAAAAATCCCAAGACTCTCAGATGCAATTCGGAGGAGGCGAGTATGCTTCTTTGGACATATAAAGAGAATGGGGGGAAATAGGTTAACAAAACAAATGTTTACGTATTTCATCAACCAAAAGAATAAGAATCAATGGATCAATAACACCAAAAAAGACATGGCAGAAATGGACATTCAGTATCTGAAGAAGATATCCAGAACAGGGAAAGGTTTAGAAATAAAATAAAGAACTTCAAGAGTTTTCAAGAAAAGGAGAATAACAGACGTGGAAGAATCTTCACTCAGTAGCAAAGACAACAGCAGAGCGACAGAATGAAGAGGTATTGGGGAGAAAGGAAGAAGAACAAAGGGAAGGGAAGAGCGAAAAGCAAGCCATAATTAGTTGTTTGTACGTGGTCCAAAGATGGCCGGAATGGACACAAGAAGAATAATACAGTAATACCCCGAACTTACGCGATAGGTGGGACCGAGCGATAACCGCATAAGTCGAATTCGCGTAAGTCGGGGTATAATTTCGCATATAAATACATACAAATAATTTTTAATTGGGGCCGGAGACTAAAGAAAACAATAATTTAGAAAAAAATGTTTAATAAAATCTTAGATAATACATATGTATAACAAATTATATTATTATATAATTTTTCACATTTACTTGATTATCACACCATAAATTTAACATTGTTTCCATCTCAGCGATAATACCGTGACGTTTACAAATGATGTTTGAATTTAAAGATTAAGCATTTTTCACAGCTTCGAGAATTTTTTCTTTACCTTTTATAATAGTTCTGACCGTCGATTCCGGTAGATCAAACTCCTTTGCCAATTCACAAATTTTCATTTTTGTATCGAAATCTTTAATAATTTTAACTTTATATTCCAAAGATAAAGTTTTTCTTTTCTTGTTTGATGCAGAAGAATCAGTTCTACTTCGTTTAGATGACATAGTAGAGTCTCTCAAGTCTCCGTAGATATAACAAACACAGAAATAAATAACACAAAATAAACTGTATCTATGTGTCGATAAGCTGAACAATAGTGTGGAGGGAATGAGTAATCAAGAGTTGCGTGGCGCTCAAACAAAAGACGAATCGAAGAGATTTGAAAATCGCGTAACTCCGGGTTAGCGTAAGTCGAGGTATTACTGTAATTCGCTACGCATTTACAGTAGCATGATGAGGTTTTACAGAATGCACAGAATGAAGAGAAATTTTTGTTTTATAACGAGAAAGTTTTAATATCAAATTAGTTATATTTTTGACCAACAGATGGGTCCTAAGTTGATTGCTTAGTTTGTGTAACACCAAAGAAATTATTACAAACTAGCAGACCCCGCTACGCGTTGTTGTAGCTCAAAATGTATCTATTATAAATATATAACACTTACCCCGTGGGGGGAGAATTTTTTGAAAAATCCCTTCTTAGTGTACATTCTGTTGACGTATCCTATTAAAACGCAATCAAAAACGCAAAAACCCGCATCTAAAATAATATAATAGAAGCCAAGTTCTTCACAGTAAGCCTTAATTCTGTCTCTCTCCCCTGCGGGGGAATATCGAAAAATCCCTTCTTAGTGTACATTCTGTTGACGTACCCTATTAAAACGCAATCAAAGACACAAAAACCCGCATCTAAAATAGTATAAATAGAAGCAGAGTTCTTTACCGTAAGCCTTAATTCTAACTACAGTAGAACCTCCATTATCCGGACCTCCATTATCCGGATTTTCGATTATCCGGATTGTTCAAAATAAACAAAAATTTTACGAATTTGCTGATTTGCACTTGGTGAATTACGACACTGTTTATGTACGTGATGGAATGCATAACTTTTTTTGTTTCAACAACGTATCACCCAGCACAGTGGTCGTAAACTCTTAAATATATTTTACGTAGTAATAAAGATATAACTTGACATACGTATTTATATATATTATATATTCAAATTACATCATTTCTATGACCAAGGGCGGCGTAAGGCATGAACGACGTGGGCCACAGCCTATGCCTCGCGGTCTGAAGGGCCTCGCGCCTCGAAGGTCTATGCATTACTTAAAAGCCGCGAACGCGACGAAAAAATTTTACTCGTCATAAAACGATAAATAGTTTGTCAAATTTTTATTCATAAAAATGCAGTTTCAACTGCTTTTTATTTTATAAAATCCGTCTTCTTG